TGGGGTCTAAATGCAGAATGTGGGGGACTGTGAACCAGCATGTCAAAACCACATACTGTATGGGTATGTCTTAAAGAATGAAAAAAGATTCCTTTTTCCTTAAGACATATAAGCTGTCTCAACAGCATAAGTCCAAAGTGAATACCACAACCTAATTACAGATGAACAGCACAATCACCATTATTAGTATGTGTTTTTAGACTTGTTCTTCTCCAAATTATATTTTTATCAAATATCTTGCCTCATTAATGAGTCCAAAAGACATACCAAGTGTGTATGTATGTATGTGTGTGTGTGTGTGCATATATATATATATATATACACACACATACATACACCTTTTAATTTCCCAAAATTGAAAAAAGAATTGAAAGACTTTTTTTTCTACATGTTTTGGGATAGCACATAACACAGAAGCAAACTAAATCCAGTCACCTGCCTACAGGGATGAACAGATTTATATATTCCCAGCCAAATAAAGCTGTTTTCAAAGATTTCTAGAGTAGCAGATACCATAATCTATCTTGGGAAACAATTCCCACATCTAAGAACCTTTATGTCCAAGAAATTCTTCCTCTTAAACCAACTGTGTTTAAGAGCCAGCTTCATGATGAGTGTAAGACCTGCACAGGACCATGCATTTGGTTTAATGCTCTGTTGTCACTATCTTGAAATTTTTAGCAAGTTTATTTTTGAGCTTGTGTTTTGTAAGTGAAGACCAATGGGACAATGGAGCATGTATGTGACAAGATATACACAACATTCATGTCCTCTGTTCCATTTACATATAGTCCTATGAGTTCAGAATTTCTTTGGCTCCAAGATGAGTAGGAGTTCAGCGAGACTTGCTTTGAGCAAGTTTAAGGAAAGCATATTGCATCTACCACTGGTTAGATGGGGGTATACTGACAGCCCTGGGAGGCTTTCCATTAGGACCAGAACTTGATTTGAACCCAGAAGAAGGCAGCTGATCAAAAGAAAAACACAAGTGACTAAGGAAATCTAGTATATCCTTTCTCATTCCTGTTACTTCTCTGTGTTACTCAACCACTTATGCTGAAAATGATGACATACAAGGAAAGAAAAGGAAGGGCAACCCATAGTTCTTGTCCTTTCAGTGTGCCTTACTGACCAGCAAGCCAAAGGCAAAGAGTATGCACACATGAAGAAGTGAAATAAAAGCAATTACATTTCATGCAGCCATTCCCATAGTTCTGGTGAGGCGCTATACATATATGCATGTAAAAGTTATGAAATACAAATTGTGTTATTTTGGTGATTGCACACTTAACACTGGCATTGCACAATAAAGATTAATGGTAAAATTCACTCTAATTGTTTAAATTTTTATTTTTCTTTACTTAGAAAAATATTAATAGCAAATGAAAAACAAGTCAAGAGAGAGATCAGAAAGAAAAAAGCTTTATGTTTTAGTATCTGTTTTAACAGCACCTTTATTCCCTGCTTTTTGTAAGAGGGTCTCACGTTTTCATTTTATACTCGGCCCAAAAAATAACGCAACTGGCTCTACCCTGCTTCCTCATATTATAGATTACTGAATTATTTGCAAATGGTGTACCAGTAAATTGCTTGCAAATGATGAAATTAAGTAAAATAGTTCTGGCATAGCATGTGCTTGTATATACCATGCATGTCTTAAGATATTTGCAGAAGTGAAATTCAGCCTCATTCTCTTGTCCTGCCACATTATTAGTAAATCACATTGTTCTGTTCATTTTCTTCCATTCCATTCATTTTCTTTAATCTCTTGGTTCTATGTATAAAAATAATCTCAAAATGTTACTTTTGATCATAATTGTATAATAAATAATTGTATAAGCCATTATCAAGAAAGTTATGGTCGAGTTTGGTAGTCTCCTGGTAATTAGAAAATAAACAATCAAAATTGTGTGCCTGTTTATTAATTTGTTAATTATGGCACATAAGCTCAACTGTTGAATGTGAATCTTATTTACAAGATTGTCTTAAGTGAAACCATTAGATTATGTTAGGTCTGCTTATTTCATGGTTTAATTATGTCCTCTTAATGTTAACTAAAGTCAGCAACACATAAAACAAACCAGCATAGTACACTTACAGAAAATAGTGTGTGGGGAAGGGCTTGCATGGTTGGCAAAAATGTATAACATGCATGTTATTTGTGAAAAAATATGGTCCATTCACAGCATCTATACTGCTAAATCAACACTCTAAGCCTTCACCCTTTCCTCCATTTATTCACCCAGCAGATATTGAGTATGCTCAGATCAGGTATTGTGCCAGGCACTCAGAATACAAAAAATGAGTAAGATACAGTCCCTTCCCTCAAGGACAGTCAGGGAGATGCACAAATAACCATGAAAAGGTAATAACACCTACTTTTTATGACTCTAGTGAGGACTATAAATATAATAAGGAGCCTTGATGGCACAATGGTTAAAAGCTCACCTACTAACAGAAAGGTTAGAGGTTTGAACTCACCCAACAACTCCACAGGAGAAAAGACCTGGCTATCTGCTCCCATAAAGATTACAGACGAGGAACCCTATGGGGAAGTTCTACTCCATCACATAAGATCACTATGAGTCAGACTTGACACAAGAACAGGCACATAACAACATGAATAAATACTTGAAATTTACAAACCACTACCAATATTCATTGTTAACCTTCAGTACTTTCATTCAATTATCTCAGTGAATTCTTATTTCAACATATTGAGTAAGTTTTTTTATTATCTCCATTTTACAGCTAAGAGCTCTGGTGGTGTAGTGCCTAAGTCACTTGACTGCTAACAGAAGGCTGGCAGCTCAAACCCACCAGCCCTCCTCGGAAAGAAGAATGGGCAATCTATTTCTGTAGTGATACCTCCTCAGAAACCCAAGGAGGAGTTGTTATGAGTCGGGTCCAACTTGATGGCATTGAGTTTGATTTTTTTGTTGTTGTTCTTAACTTATAGCTACAGAGAGTCCCTGGGTAGTACAAAACAGTTACCATACTCAGCTACTAACTAAAAGGTTGGAGGTTCAAGTCCACCAGACACACCTCAGAAAAAGCTTGGCAATCTATTTCCTAAATTTCAGTCATTAAAAACGCCATGAAGCACAGTTCTACTCTGACACAATGGAGTCACCATGATTTCAAATCGACTCTACAACAACTAGTTTCAGCTAAGGAAGCATAGATTTAGAACAATTAAAAAACTTCATGAGAGTGACTCTGTCGTTAGTTACTAGAATCAGAGACTAGTCAACCAAGTATTTTGATTACTGAATCTGAGTTCCGAAGTGAAAATTATCATTCTCATTGTTTATTACTATTATTACAGTTAATTGTCTATATTTTTTAGCTTTTCAAAGGTCAATTTTTGTTGTAATTTTAGTTTACCAATCTCCTCATAACACATCATTTGCCACTAAAAAACAAAATGTGTATTCTGAATTTTTATTAATTTATTTATTGATATTTTGTTTAGAAAATAAAATATACCTTGATTTTTCAAAAAACTAACTGGCAATCCTTTGATGCAATTCTAGAAGATTAGATTCTGCTGAGAGACTCTGTGATTTTCAAAATTATGTTCATGATTTTGTTCACTAAAATACAGTACAGTGGTTAAAAAACATGTGCTTGGGAAACAGACAACTTGAGTCTAAGTCCTGGCTCTACCGCTCACTAGTTTTATGAGTTTCAGACATAAAAGCTGCAAGAATGAATACAAACATACCACTGATTATCAAGATGGGGCAGTACCAGCAACGTTTGGTTCTATTATACTGAAGAATGCCATGAGTCAGTGCTGACTTGACAGCAACTAGCAAGAACTTAACGCTCAAAACCTAAATCTTCTCTCATGTAATTGAAGATGAAAACAGTACCTTAAGTACATTATAGGGAGATATTTAAGATTAAATGAAATAATCCTGTGAAACATAATAACACCTGATACAATCTAACACTCCAAAAGTGTTAGCTCAAGCACTATTCTTTTTAGCACCGAGTTCTCATATCAAGGTTTAAAAATGGATCTGAAATATTTTTTAGGTCTCTCCCACTACAAAAAATAAATATAAGGGTCTTTAACTCTCAATCAAAAGAGAAAAAAAAAAAAAAATTCACTGCCATAGCCTTGATTGCAACTCATAGCAACCCTTTTCAGGACTGAGAAGAACTACCCCACAGGGTTTCTAAAGCTGTAGATCTTTATGGAAGCAGACTGCCTTAACTTTCTCCGACAGAGTAGCTGGTGGGTTCGAACTGCTGATTTGTTTAGGAGCCAAATACGTTAATCACTGTGCCATTAGAGCTCCGTTCAATTCTCAAGATGTATATTTTTTTCTTTGTACATAAAAGCATGCAAAAAGCCCCCCAAAATAGCACCTAGTGGTCTCATACAGATGTCTAATATTCAAGAGAATTGAAATGTTTATCTAAATAATCCTTCACCAGAAACTCCAAACATTACCCTCATTTTTTACCTTTTCATTATAAACTGCCTATTCCAGGATTGAGGGCAAAAGAGTTTATATATAAAGAACCATGTAAATGTAAAGGGATATCTCTGTTATTTAGCAAGACTATCTCAGTTCTCTCTAATCCTTGAAGTGACATTAAATTTAAGAACTTTGAGCAAATAAAAATGGCCGAACTGTTTTCTCTGGTGGAAAAGGAAAGGATTAGCTAATCTGAAGGTTTACTGCCATCACTCAGACCGTCAAATGGACTGTTGCCTGGCTTCTAAGTGATTGAAGAGCACATAAAAAAATAGACTGGATACCACATAAAAACAGACTATGTACCTATTTTTAAAATAGTTCTAGAAAAAAGGCCTTAATTTGACATTTTTATTACAGTTTAAAGAAAAGGAAAACAGCATTTTTGTAAAAAATAAAGCCTTTGTTTGGTACCTTACAAAACATGATCGCTACATGATATCTTCATAAAACCAAAATCCTTTAAATAATGGTGGCTGTTACCACTTAAAGTTTCTGGGTCCTTACCAAATCCTGAGTGTCCTGATGCAGTGGCAGAAATGCTGCCTCCAGAATAGCAACCTGGTCAGCACTAAGCTTCTGCCACAGGCCGATGAGCAGAATCACCAAATGGGTGCCACTTTTCAGTCTGGTGAATGACTGGAACAGATTGCCTTGGTTTTCCTCTACGGCATCTGCTAGAGCTATTACCTGCAGCAATTACAAACTTCAGTTAGGGGTAATTTCACAACTCTTGAATCCTCAACTAATTACATTTGGCATGCTCAAATTTTTCTTTAAAACAAGTTGATGAACTTTGTCTTCCACAAGCACAAGCTACATTGAATAATAAAAGAGTTATCATTCATCAGCTCACTTCCTATTTTTAGGGGGGGAAAAATGCCCAAAGTAATTCCAAATCCATATGGCCATGAGATGAAAATATCCATGATTCTGCTTAATGGGGACATTGTTCAGTGCCTGCTTCACCATCGACTGACTTTCTACAATATATGGTAATATAACTAATCCCTAATAAAGTTCTTACAGTCTATGTCACAGAGCTCTATCAATTAAAACATTCTTATCAAAATAACTACATTTGCATTGTAGTTTAAAAAATAACTTTACCCTTTCAGCAAATAACTGTCTTCCTTGGATATTAGTCTTTATATGTTACATGGTATTGGAATAGTCACTATTTCTTTATTATATCCAAAAGGTAGATAATGTTCAAACATATGACCAATCAAGTAATGTCATTTTTAAAACAAATGTCAAGCACTAGTCCACAGGGACCTGAAAGAACAAAAACCTCAGGGTGTGTTAGCTTTACAATGCCAAATCTACTTAGGATAAAATTGGCATGAGTATGTAAGATCGGCTTTTTTTTTTTTTTTTAATCGTTTTGAATAATCCTGTGGAAAAAGAACTAAAGTAACAATTGGAAGGAACATCCAAGACTACCTATTGGTGTTTTATTTTATTTTAACGTCTTGGTGAAGTTTGTGCTCATTAAAAGTAATGAACTGACTGCCCCAGAGGCTCAAGGCGTCTGACAGTCCCCAGAACAGGAATAGCAAAAGCCAAGGCAATGTGAGCTCCTTTCTGCAAGTTCCTGCCAGCTTGAGGGACTAGAGCTGAGATGAGCTTCAGAAGTCTGGTGCAGATGGTCCATTTGCTGATATTTCATGGCTTATTGACACTGTCCATACTAAAAAGGCCATATAAAAAAGGGCTTATTAAAAAAAATCATCATTCAAATGAGCAGAGTCTGCCACTGCGTGGTGTTCCAAATTCCATGTGGGGAGAAAGTTAGTTGGGAGATACTTCTCAGAATGGAAGAAAGTAGAAGAAAAGATGTAGATTAGGGAAAGAAAAAGGAACTGAAACTCCTCTCCTGAAAAATGCTGGGGGCAGATTAGACTTCTTTGTCACTTGTTTTAAGTCTTGCAGGAGCTACAAAAGACAATCACAATTCACATCCAGATCTCCATGGAGCCATGGGAGTTTGGACCAAGGCCAGAATTACAATAAAACACATTGCTTACTATATGCCCAGTACTGAGCTTCCTTCCATTTGAGTTCAAAAGAAGTATATAATATCTTATAGCTCATGAGGATCTTATAATTTGTTGGAAAGAAAACATACATATACAACCAATTAGTGGAAAAAGCATTACTATAATAATATCCTAATTGTGCAGAACAGAAAGTAAGTGTGAAAGAAGTTAGCAAAGGCATGGATTACTATGAGCCAGAGTTAATATCCCTAGGGCCTCTTCTACTAAAATGAGGTTTGGAACTCATCCCTTCCACATTTCTTAAAGTGGTCCCCACGAAGAGACAAAGAGAGGCCACATTCCTTAAACCAAAACACCTGGAATCATCTACTTCCCCCATCCTCACTATGATTATAATTGACTCCTGTTAAAGTCTTAGTTTATACTCTTTTTCTTCCTGTGAATGTTACCAATTAAGCCTCATCGTGAAGGCCATGATGTTATGACACAGATGCTTATTGTCAAGAAGCCCAAATCAGGCAAATATCAAGGTCATAAACACCTACCGAGTGCCAGCTATGTGTAAGAAATTTCTGGAAGTACTATAGGGAATTCCATGGTGACTGAGATCTAATCTCTGCCTTCAAAGAGATTAAAATTCAGAAAGGAAAATAAGTCAAGGAGGCAAATGCCGGCAATACAAGGTAGACTCTACACACTCTAAGTCAAATGCCATTAATATGATTATTACATTAATAGTAATTCCTCCAATTAATCAAGCATAGACTGTGTGCTGTCTGCCATACAGGTAACAGGGCCTTCAATCTTCACAGCTCCACTGTGACTCAGTTGACTGCAATAGCTTAGGTATTATCTCTATTTTACATATGAGAACACAGAGGCTCAGCAAATGTAAGTAATTTCTCAAGTACTGTACACAGGATGTGTGAACTGGACAGCTGAATAAGGCTCCACACTCAAGAAGGGTCTTGTGCTTCATTTAATACTCCTGCTATATTGAACTCCTCAATAATTTTATATTTGAATTTATAGTATATTTTGTAAGTGAAATCTGATGGGACAACAGAGCATGCACATAATCAGAGGAGATATGTGCATTAACTCACATGAGTTAAATGCTCTTAAACAGTTAGACACTAGACAACTAGCCAACAGATTGGTGGTTCACACCCACCCAGAGGCAGTTCAGAAGATAGACCTTGGGTGACATCACAAGAAACCAACCAAAATAAAAAGGATAATATCAGGATACTATGACTAACTGTACCCCCAACAAATTTGAAAACCTAGAACAAATGGATGGATTTCTAGAAACATACTTAAAAACAAAACAAAACAAAACAAAACACCTCACTGCCATGGAGTTGATTCAACTTGTAGTGACCCCTCCTTGAGCTTCCAAGGCCCTCCTTGAGTTTACAAGGCAGTAGATCTACAGAAGTAGATGGCCTAATCTTCCTTGCGAGGAGCGAATGGTGGGTTTGAACCACGAGCCCTATGATTAGCAGTCAAATGCCTTAGGCATTACGCCATCAGAACTCCCAGAAACACATTACCTACCTAAAATAACACAGCCTGAGGAAGGAAATTTTAACAGACCCATAATAAAAGAAGAAATCAAACAGGTTATAAAAACAAAACAAAACAAAAAAACCAACAAAAATAAGTCCTGGCCCAGACGACTTCACTGGTGAATTCTACCAGACATTCAGAGAAGAGCTAACACCAATTCCACTCAAACTATTTCAGAATATAGAAAAGGAGGGTTGTTGTTGTTATGTACCATCGAGTCAGACCTGACTCATAGCGACCCCTCCTTGGGTTTCTGAGGCAGTATCACTACGGAAGTAGATTGCCCCATCTTCCTTCTGAGGAATGGCTGGTGGGTTTGAACCACCAGCCTTCTAGTTAGCAGTCAAGTGCCTTAGGCACTACACTACAAGAGCTCCCAGAAAAGGAGGGAATACTCCAAAACTCATTTTATGAAGCATAACCCTGATACCAAAGCCAGGCAAAGACAGCACTAGAAAAGAAAATTATAGACCAATATCCCTCATGAACACAGATATAAAAATTCTCAACAAACTCCTGGCTAATAAACTCCAAAATATATCAATAATAATAATAATAATACACCATGATCAAGTAGGATTCATATCAAGTATGTAAGGATGCAAAGGTGGTTCAACATTAGAAAACAATCAATAATTTATCACATAAATAAACAATGGAAAAGAACCAATCATATCAATAGATAGAGAAAAGGCATTTAACAAAATCTAACAAAAAATCCTGACAAAAATATGAATAAAATAGAAGTAGAAGGGAAATTCTTTAATATAATTAAGGGCACATACACAAAGCCAATAGGAGCTCTGGTAGCATAGTGCCTAAGGCATTTGACTGCTAACCAAAAGGCTGGAGGTTCAAAATGAAAAACAGGGACAAACTTAGTGGCCCTAATTCAGGGCATAAATACATTATTGAATAAAACTAAAAATGCACCAATACCAGAAGACAAAATAGATGACTGAGACTTCCTAAAAATTAGACACTTATGTGCATCAACAAATTTTACCAAAAGAGTAAAAAGAGAACCCATTGACTGTGAAAAATGTTTTGGCAAAGACATATTGGACAAGGGGCTAATCTCTAACGTTTATAGAAAACTTTAACAACTTAACAACAAAAAGACAAATTACCCAATTAAAGACTAGGCAGAAGACATGAACAGACAATTCATGAAGGAAGACATTCAGGCAGCTAGCATATACAAGAAGAAAGGCTTGCAATCACTAGCCATTAGAGAAACAATGAGATATCATCTCACCCTAGCACTGATAGCAAAGTTTAAAAAAAGAAAAAAAAAAAAACCAAAAAAACAGAAAACAACAAATGCTGGTATATACAAGGTGCTTAAGATCTCCTATAGGTACCTTGCAGGTACCTCACGCATTGCTGGTGGGATTGTAAAATGGTGAATCCATTGTGGAGAGTGGTACGGCACTTCCTTGAAAAGCTGAAAATAGAAATACCATATGATCTAGCAATCCCACTATGCAATAGAGAAATAAGAGCCATAACATGAACAGATATATGCACACCCATGCTCATCACAGCACTATTCACAATAGCAAAAAAGTGGAAACAACCTAAATGCCCATTAACAGAGGAATGGATCAACATACTACAGTACACACATACACTGAAATACTGCACAGCATTAAAGAACAATGATGAATCTGTGAAGCATCTCATAGCATGGATGGTTTTTTATGCTGAGTACAATTATTGTTGTTGTTGTTATGTGCTGTCGAATTGAACCTGACTCATAGAGACCCCTCCTTGGGTTTCCAAGACAGTATCATTATGGAAGTAGATTGCCCAACCTTCCTTCCAAGGAGTGGCTGGTGGGTTTGAACCACCAGCCTTCTGGTTAGCAATTAAGTGCCTTAGGCACTATGCTACCAGGACAAATATTGTTAGAGACTACTATTATAAAAAGTCAAGAAGGGATTTCACAAAGAAATAGTCTTTTGATGGTTACCAGGGGTGGATGAGAAAGTGAGGGTAAACCACTAACCAGAGGGTAGGCATATATTAACTTCGGTGAAGTTCTTATTGTTATGTGCCGTCGAGTTGGACCTGACTCATAGCAATCCCTCCTTGGGTTTCCAAGGCACTATC